CGCCGGTAGATGCGCCTTCGGCAGTAGGGCCTTCGGGCCAAGGGACATCGGGCGAGCGGCCTTCGGCTATGTCGCCTTCGGCGATATACGCCTTCGGCGCTGCACCTGCGGCGGACAAGGCGCCGGCATTTGCGCCTGCGCACAGGCCAGGCACAGCCCTCGCGAAGGACCGATCGAGGGAGCAGGACCTGACGGAGGAGCGGATTGTCTGTTCGTGGGACGAAATTTCGGTGCGCGATGCGCAATTAAACCCCGCGCAGACACACTCCGCTCGATCGCCTTCGGCGGCGGACGTCGGCGACAAAGAGGATACGGTCGAAGATCGACAAGCGGGCGACGGGGATGTAGCACGGCCACATTCGCCCACCGCCTTGGACATTTTAGCGAAGAGCAGCGAAGCTGCAGCTGTGCCTTCGTAGGCAGCATCCGTAGACGACGTGCAGCCCCACTCGGGTGAGTCGCCAACGCAATCAATGGCGACTGAAATCCTTAACTCGGATGATGACAACGGAGGCTCCACAGAAGCAATGTCGGGAGCAGGGGATACCGAGGAGGAGGAGGAGGAAATTGTTGGAGCGCCGGCGGCGGCGCTCTCTGAGCAGGTGATACCGTTGCTGAAGTACTTGGATCGCAAATTTGATAAATACGCCGATCCACTCCAGCCGGAATCCTACATCGAATTAGTGCGCAGGCGGACTCGCACTAAAGTCCACACTAGCAAGCTACTAGCTAGGACGGACCGGGAGTTGCAGGACTCGAGGGAGAAGCATGCCTGTTTGTGGGGTCAGTACAACCTTGTGAGGAAATCGCACGCCCTCGACAGGATGAAGAAGGAGAGACTGGAAGAGCTCACCAGGGATGTGGTGAAGACCACGACAGATTTGATCTCTGAGAGAGCTTAGAATCAGATTCTGTCAGAGGAGCTCGTGCGACAGACGCGTTTGTTGGCGGAGTGTTAGCTCGCACGACAGGCGGATGAGGATTTAATCCGCAGGCTACAGTCGGAGTGTGGGGAATTGAGAGCGCAGCGTGCGGAAGCCGAATCGCAGTTGGTGGTAATTGAAGATGATCGCAAGCAAGAGGCAGATCGCACGAAGGAGGAGATGGCGAGGCGTGTCGCCCACTGTCTCAAGGGCTACGCCCACAAGGAAGTGGCGGCGCAGGAGAAACTCACACTGCGTGAGTTAAAGCTTCGCGCAGCAGGGTTGTTGGCAGGTGACAGCAGGAGTCGGCGGAAGGTGGCGAAGAAGTTAGACGCTTTTCTGTCGAAGGCACGGGATACCATGTCCACCCTCGAGGTGGAGGTGTCCGCGGCGTTGCAGCGGTTAGGACTGCGCAGTCGAGCGGAAGACTGGCAGGGTAGGGAGTTAGTGCGCGGCAGTCCGTCGCGCAGGAGACGTAGCACAGGTTCCGCTGAGTGTAGTGTAGCGTGGTTCCGTGCAGGCGTGTAGCGTAGTGCAGTGTAGTGCTAGTTAGGACTTAGAAGGTATAAAGTAGTTCAAGGCGTTTTGCCTTGGGTTCTTTCCCAATTTTGGAAGTGCAGATCAGGAACTCATTTTCTCTGCGTGTTTGTGTACTTAGTTCTGTCACCACGCAAGAGGAGCTACCACTTGGCGTTCCGCATTTTGTAGCTGAAGGCCTTCGGCCGAATGTTCAGAGCTGGTACATTGGTTAGAGACTTGAGTAGTTCGGATCTACACCTGCGGGTGATTGCCGATGCTCAAAGCCAGTGACTAGTTAGATACTTGAATAGTTTCGCCCCTACACCTTCGAGTGTTTGTTCCTGATTGTACTCCTTCGGGATTTTTCCCCTGAATGCCAAAGTGAAGTTTTGTTACTTCGTGTAAGACTTGGTTGTAAATTCAGGTTACGCTGCAGCAGGTGCCTTGAGGGTAGCCCCTGTAGTATTTCTGGGAATGACAAGTGCCTGAGAATTCAAACTCTTCAATAGACTGTTGTTGTGTTACTGGAATGTTCCTCAGTGAGTCCTTCAATGCGGACCTGTGTTCTCTGCGTGTTTTGTGAGTTGAGAGTGTTGTTCACCGCGTATGAGTGACTTCGATCCGAAGTAGGCAGTCCAAACCGGGTTTCCTACGATAGCAGCCAGCTAGTGGAAGTGTTGTAAAAGCCGAAGTTGGAAGTCACTACCCGCAGCTTCGCTGAGTGTACTCTTGAGAGACCTTCCCCCTGAAATCTTGAGTAGAGGTCCTAACGGATCTCTGGGTTGTGTTTCTGTAGTTTCAGGTGTGTGTGTGTGTGTGTGTGTGTGTGTGTGTTACGCTGCACTGTGCGACCTCCGAGTGCGCTCCGAGTGGACACTTGCAGTATTTCTGGGAGTGACAGTCGCCTGAGAATTCAAACTCCTCAATAGTTTGTTAAACGTGACACTTTGTACCTTGTGTGTTCCTCTATCCCTGTGGGTTCGACCTTTCTACCACTATATTGCAGTTTTAGCCTTTAGTGGGTTATTACATGCATCCTCCAAGCATCCTCCGAGTGACCTCCGAGTTGAGCATCCTCCGAGCGGCCTCCGAGTCGAGCACTGCAGTATTTCTGGGAGTGACAGCCGCCTGAGAATTCAAACTCTCCAAAAGTCTGTTAAACGTGACACTTTGTACTCTGTGTGTTGCCTCTATCCCTGTGGGTTCGATCTTTTTACCACCATACTGCAGTTTTAGCCTTTGGTGGGTTATTACAGAGCGCATCGTGCGGATGCGGAGCTGTAGTTAGTGGAGTTTGAAGGCGACAAACGGCGCGCGACAGATCGCACACGAGAGGAGTTAGTCGCACGAGTGAACCGATGTCTGAGATGTTACACTCTATGGGAGGTTGTAGCGCGAGAGAGAGTCACCTTGCGCGAGTTAGAGATTCATGCAGCGGCCTTGATGTCGGGTGACAGTCGGAGTCGGCAGCGAGTAGCAAAGCGGTTAGATTCCTTCCTGGCAAGGTCGCGAGACGCCATTGCGAACCTCGAGGCAAAGGTGACCGCGGTGTTGCGGCGGCTGGGATTGCGCAGTAGGGCCAAAGACTGGTTGGGTAGGGAGTAGTGCGCGGTCGGCCTTCGCAAAGGAGGCATAGTAGATGACGTGTAGTGTTGTGTAGAGTGTAGTGTTAGGTAGTTAGGATCTTAGAGTGTATAAAGTAGTTCAAGGCGTTTTGCCTTGGGGATTTTCCAGTTTTGTAAGTGCAATTCAGGAATTCATTTTCTCTCCGCGTTTGTATCTTTAGTTATATCACCGCGCGAGAGGAGCTACATCTTGACGAAGTTACCGCATTTTGTAGCTGAAGGCCTTCGGCCGAATGCTCTGAGTTAGTGTCGTCTAGTTAGAACCTGAGCAGTTTGGACTTACACTTTCAGGTGATTGTTCTTGTTTGTACTCCTTCGGGATTTTTCCCCCTAAATGCCAAAGTGAAGTTTTGTTACTTCGAGTAAACCTTGGTTGTCAATTCAGGTTGTACGCTGCTTGAAGCGCTTTCGGGGTTAGCCTCCGCAGTATTTCTGGGAATGACTAGTGCCTCAGAATTCAAACTCGTCAATAGACTGTTATGTTGTGACACTGTATCTCTTTTCAATTGAGTTTCTCAGTTTGGTTCCTGTATTCTCTGCGCGTTTTGTGAGTTGAGTGTGTTGTTCACCGCGTGAGAGTGACTTCGGTTTGACGAAGATATCGCATCCGAAGTAGGAAGTCTAACCCGGATGCTCTGCACTAGCAATTAGAGTTGTCAATTCGGAGTTGGAGAACACTACCTGCAGACCCTCTGAGTGTACTCGTGAGAAACTTTCCCCTTGAATCTTAAGTAGAGTTCCTAACCGACCTTTGAGTTGTGCTTTTATAGTTTCAAGTGTGTGTTGGATGAACTACGCTGCACTGTGCGTCCTCCGAGTTGAGCACATGCAATATTTCTTGGAGTGACAGTAGCCTGAGAATTCAAACTACTCAATAGTTTGTTAAAACGTGACATTTGATATTTTGTGTGTTGCCTCTGTCCTTGCGAGTTCGATCTTTTGCTGCTATACTGCAGTTTAGTATACTTTTTTAATTGCCATTGACCGTTGGAGCTAGAATCTGATGTTGGAAGAAGGAGCTAAAGGAGACACTTTGAGCCTTCGATGCTCAAATGTTCTCGATTAGCCGATTCTTTGTATGAGAAATCGGGGCCTTGTCAAGATGGAGGAGTCCACGGATATAAATCATATGCCGAACGTTGCACACAGTTTGGCAGCCGTTAGTACTGATCAGGCTGTTGATTTGAAACACATTGCTATTGAGGAAAACTTGTAACACCGTTAATGCACACAAAAACAGACAGAGGGGAAATAGCATCAAACTTTCTGGCATTGAAAAGTTGGAGGAGAACAAAGAAAACGAGATTCTCAAGTTCGTGGGGTTTATGTGGAATCCTCTTTCACGTGTGATGGAAGCAGCTGTGTATTCATGGAATTAGATATCAGCATTCCACGGCAACAGCACTAAGCTGACTCTGCTTTAGTATATTGTTCACAATAGATTGATAGTCTGGCCGTCTTACTAACTATGCAGCGCCACCCCTTCTTATTTGCACGCACCTATCTAACTCGGTGCGTGTAGGCAAGAATAAATAGAAGAGTTCTAGCTCAAGGGTAGAGTAGAATTGAACTCTACGGCATGAGAAAAGAATTAGCAGGAGTACTTGAATGTACTCTCTGGATGAAATTGAACGGGCTTGCAAGAGCCTGTTCAACTTCATCGGTTCAATAGAAATTTCGAGGTCGTCTAGCTGCTCCAAATGTTGGAGCAGTGAATGAATTGCAGGGTATCTATGGCAAGTGAGCCCGGAATTATTCACTTAAATCGCCAGCTCCTACTGACCATCCTATGTATGACTATTCCCAGTCTGATAGTCAATCCAAAATCATCAAATTGCTATGAGTTCATGCAAGCTCGACGAACTGATTATCATTAATCAGTTCGTCGTCGCTTCCGAGAACATGAATGCGCGTAGTATCTTCTACCTACGCATTAAGGAGCCCTTGGGCTGGTGGAGTTGTCGAAGAAGATCCAACTCGCGTCATTCACCTTCTCGTACCTGTACCCGAGAGCATTCAAATCCAGAAAGTCCCTCACTCTGACTCTCCTCATCACTGAATTCTCATCCCAGAAGAGAAATGTTGCATTGAGCCAGTCTGGGTCAGTCGGATCGTCATTGCCGTAGCCCAACTTGCGCCAGACGCTCCAGAGTCGCTCCATGTTTGCATGGAAAGGGTAAAATAGAGGGTCAATGGGCGCAGTAATGGGCTGCAGCATCCATCCTCCGATCCAAGCGTGCAGCGTATTGTGGGGTACCAACTCGATCGTACCAGCTCCTACCGCTGGGATCAGAATTTGTGCGTCTCCGACTCTGTAAGTCTTCCCGATGAAGTTGGTGGTATTTGCGAGGGTGATCATCGATCTGTGCATGACTTCTCGGTTCATCCGCGTTTGTTCCTCCACGGTGTTGTTGGGCCAGGCAGGAGGTCCCAGAAGAGGGTTAAAGTTGTACGCATAGTCCACGGCCCTGTTGGGGTCGAAGGCCCTGACTGAGCGATTAGCTTCAAATGTTGCTTTCGACGGATCGTTGTACATCGGCGGCACGAAATGACCAGCCTTGTAGCAGCCACGGGATCCATGTCTTGGCGTCGCTGTGACACTGTTGTCGAAATTCCAGAAATGAAGACTGAATTCGGGATCTCCGAGCAACTTCTGCAAAATCCTCTCGTGAAAGTACACGAACATGCGGTGCCAGGGCAGGAAGAGCCAGTTCAAGTGAACGTCGATGGTGAGGTTGGTGGAGCCGTCTTGGAGGAAGGAGCCCGTCCCGTAGGCACAGTGAATCGCGTTCTGCCTTTTGAAAGAGCGCGGATCACTGTCTGGAAGAGCCCGCATCAGAACATATCCTTTCTCCAACTTCCGCAAATACGTCTGTAGCTCATGGCCGCTGAGACATTGTAAAGCCTTCCTGACCCTCAAAGGTTTAGAGGCATCGTATTTCGGACGGAAATCGACAATGGGTCCATCAATGACCTTGGGAGGGCAGCAATCAGATGGAATTCCGGCCCAACTCCCTGGGCGGCACGCTCTAAATGTTTCCCTGGTGATGGTGATAGGCGCTGCTAGAGTGGTTGTCAGCAGAATGGAGAGCAAACATTGAATGAAGAGAACTGGGACCACAGTTGACATCATTATGTGTAAAACGTACGGTGGAATGCTATAGAATCTCTGAAATCTCTAAAATCGTCCTGTGGATGACACCACATATGACATGGAGCGTACCACACTGCACTCCCGAGTCTTCTGCCGATGTAAATGTTGGTACACTTCGACTCCTCCCTGAACAAAACACCAGCAAAGACATGGTTTCGTTGCCATTGTATTCCAATCAGAAGTCTAAATCACAGATTTTGTTACGACTGAGCATGGAAACACAGATTGCGAGGTTCTAATGTCAGATGTAAAAGATTGCAGAGCTGGCCATTCCACTATAATATCTGGATCGCATGAACGATTTTGTGAATATATTCTTTACGCAAGTCTATTTGCAGAAGATAAGAAGATGGAAATGTAAGTACAGATACTAGAGTGGAGTCGCAGCTTGAAACAAATTTCTTCTACGAGGTACATGAGCGGGCAATCAGAGGGCGATATATATAGAAGAAATGAAGAGAACATCTCATAGCAAGAGAAGCTGTTATGACGTCCATTTACCTGGAGCTCCGGGCTGAAGTGATTATGAACTGATGGTGAGCTCGTGGTCTTGGGATAGATAGGACTATCGAAGTCCCAAGCCACGGATGAGAGTTCACTCATGAAATCTCAGATTTTATTGACTTACGAAGGGCGAGTGTATCCATTAGAATACTGACGATCGAATCTCATTCAAATTCGCATAGTCACATTTACGACATTAGCGCGGAAGAAATAAGTAAACAATACTGGAGCAGACCTCGATACTTTCGGGAGATATCTACAGCAACTGTTGGCTATTGAGGTAAGGAGACAAAAGCCAAAAGCGAATTTGGACAGCAGAATAAACTGAGCTGGCGATAGCAGTGAATATTCACGTGGGTGTAGTAGCGAATGACGACTATAGAAATAAATATAGTATACAGTAACGTATCGAGAGCTTTCCTCACATGAACTTTTGCTTGTGACGTGAAACTATGCTGATAGTTCTCTGTTGTACGGAAAGACCTCAGGCTGCGACTATTCTTGGCATGAAAGAACCTCGCAAGCCTCGTTGACTGAGCTCTATGAATTTCGAAATATTTTATTCGGATTGTCGTGTGCAAGCTATGAATCAGCTGATTCCAATATAAACAGGTACAGTACGGGACGGTCGGTCGAAGACCAGACGAGAAATCCATATCCGTATATCATGCATAGATCAGTTCGAAGCACTGCTGTTTCTGCCGTGTTCACTCTATCTGGGAGTCGCAACTTCTCTCTGAGCTCCCATGACCATCAATGATTGAAGGGGAGTGTGGGCTGGCACTCAGTCTGATTCGAAATGTGTCCGCATCGAAATTCATTTAAGCACACATCCTCCAAATTTGCCGTGAAGGCTTGTGGTCCTTTGGACTCACGCGCCGGAACGATGCAACAACAGGCCTGTCCACTGGAAATTGTATATATTCATAAAGTGTATATAACCCTCGGATAATGGCGATCCGCAGTCATGTCTGATCATGCTGTGAGCGGTGCCAACACCTGATTCTTCCTTTTGTGTTTGATTCTTCTGCAAAGGCAGTGCCAGCAAATGGCGAGTGGTGGCTAACACGTTGGATCTGTGCTTGGTCCACGGGACATTTTAAACCGCCGTGAATTGATAATAATGATTGATTATTAATTATTCGGCTTTACGGGTCCTGTGGCGGGTTTTGGGATTTCCACCCAGAAGTTGGCGCTTGGCCTTGGCTTTCGGCCATGACAGCAGGCCTGCTAGTGGCATCAGCCGGCTCAGGGCACTTGAAGGACTGGAGGTTCAGGGTTAAAGCAGCTCGGTGGATATTCTCCATTTCACGGTGCTTTCTTAGTTGGTCGCAACTGGTCAAGATCGAACCAAAGAATCACAAAACGCTGAATTTATAAGGGTAGGATAGGGTTAACTCTATAGTCACAGAATTAATAATTCTTTATCAGGCATTCTAATATATTAGACAAACTAGGTAAACAATCTACGAATTATAAAATATATTTTTTATTATAATATAATATAATATAAAAATATACAAAGGTGGTCAAACAAGATATCAACTTTGGTGAGAAAAGAAACCTTGCAATGAAGTTAGTTGAGCTAACAGACAAGAAACATTTGAGGCGAGTATTAATGTGTCCTAATTTTCGAGACACAAAGTCAGTTCTACGTTGTAATGACTTAAGAGAATTGTTGTTCACTCAAGCTTTGAAAAATACTGCCGCTTTAAAGAGATGTGCATAATCCTTTGCTTCCATACAACGTATGTAACATTATGGTAATTATCAAGTATATTTTGCTTTATACTTTGACGCATTGACTTTAATGTAAACAATTTAATATTTTTGAGTAAAAATCTTTCTATTTATGTTGATACACCATAATACTCCAAAATTAAAGCTGTGGACAAAATTGATCATCCTCAAGATACTCCATATTGTAGTAGGTATCAACAATGACCATTTGGACTCCCTTATGTGAAGATAAACGAACTGAACGGTAGAAAAATCTTCCACAAAGAATGCCTGGAGCCAAGTATCTATGGTTATTTCAAATCGTCTAGCAATGGATACACGAAGATTACTATTCTTCAAAATAAGACTATAGTAATTGTCATGATATGCAAAACCATTGACTTCGGTTTCTTCTTTTTGTATCATCTTTGTTTATAGGAAATTGCTCTGATATTGAAAATCAACAAAAGTTTTTTTTCACTCTTCTCCACAAGTACATCACAATGTCTCTCCCTAATAATTAGTTAGATACGTATAAAATCATTTGATCATTCAGTCTATAAACTTGATATGTCTTCTGAAGGAATGAGATCCAAAGTCTAGATATTACAATGGTAGCTAATAAATTGCAAGTATATAATGCATATTATTTTTTGTATACTAAAACATACAAGTCAATGTAAACATACATAGAACTGAATGAGACATTCTTCCTAAACTCTAGATATTTGCATGAGAGCATGTGAGAAACTTTCAGTACGAAAACGGTGCGAGTATAAGTAATAATAGGCGAGTAATGTAGAGAATACCCTTAAGGAATCATGAGCAGAAGCAGTTGGGCATGCAAGCCCGTTCCTATGAAGAGGCATCACCAAGAAGATTGAGGTCCAAGATGTTATCAAAATCAATTTTGATTATGTATCATCTGGCATGTACGTGCCATTGATTTTGTAGCTTGATTAGACTGCATACAAATTGCAAAGATTGGAGTTGTCTATAGCGGTATTATGTTTACCAGGTGCTGTATGAGAGGTTTTGAGAAACTGAGAAACTAAGAAACAGAATCGATGTTGGCTTAAATTTGATATGAATTCAAAAATCAAATTCATTACTTATTATAAAACCTAAAATTATAAACTATTACATAAATCTAGTAGATAACTTTTAGTATATCTTACTTATCTATTTTTTTCCATTTCAAAATATCTCTCAGAATTTGCAACCACAAGTTGATGAGAAAGAAACGGGCATGTTTATTTTATTGATAGAACTTGTATTTTGATATATCATCACTTTAAGAAAAGTTTTGAATCAGTGGATGATCTTTAAGAGTATAATATATCTTTATATGAAAATTACCTGCAAATTTATTAAAAAAATAAAAATTAATCAGATTTAATATTATGATTTTATAAGCATTTTCATTCGAAGTAGATTTTAGGAAACCTTAAAATCGTACTTATTGATAAAAAGGTAATTTGACTTTTATTACATTTACTTTGTAAACTTTTCAAAAATTAATAAAACAAAATCTGTTAACAAATCAAAATGATCTTTCTAAGATTTTTATAAAATGACAGGCTTTTCATATTAATTCTATTGATATTAATTAACTGTTTAATTTCAAATCTTTTAATTTGAATGTGATTGAAGCTTACGATATATTTTTTTTTAAAATCGAAAATAGAATGATTTGTTGTGAAGAAAAACGCAGGTGTCGAATATTCATGATTCCTTTTTATTAATAATTTATCAGTTGATTGGCATGATTTTTTCTCCTCAGTTTTATTTTACAATGTTCTTAATACATTTTGGAATTAGCTATTTTATACATTAAGTTCAAATATTTAATTCCAAAAAATATTATTAATCTGAATAATGAAGTTTAATTTAAAAATTGTTAGTATTTTTCGTTCTATGAACCATATTTAATTCAAGAATTCAAAATAAATATGACTGAAAAATAAACCTATATTAAAATCCCACAAATTTGCAATATCACGCAGAAGTCAAGATATACAATTGATTGAAGTTCAAATCAAAGAAATGTGCTTGAGCTATCAAACTCATTGTTTTGATTTTTATGATTAAGACTTTTTCTACCATACAATGGTAGATGAGTATTTTTACAACTCTAATAAAAGCGGATACATCAAATCATACATAGAATTCACTTCACAAGGTATGAAAACTTCCACTTAAGTACATTTTTCAATTTTTGCAGAGCGTCCTTATCCAGGAGTACAAAATTGAAATTTATAGAGAAAGGTGTTTCCAACATGGGAAATTAATTTAGATATGATTTTTGCATCCATTTTGGAAATTTACCTCTATAATTTGTATAGTCAACGATGAATTAATATCTGCATGTAATGAAATTTATTTTTCCCACTCTCAGACAGTGAGCGTGTTGGATAGCGATGTCGTTCCTTAGCACAAGCTTCTGACAGAATTCTTGGCTGATCAGCCCTCTAATTTAACTTCCTCGTGACCGACGTAAGTATATGCAGTTAACTGCTACTGATATTATCATTTTAATAAACAGGTATCCATATCCAGCCAAGATTGTTCAGGTTTTGTATGAGGCTTGCAGTGGGCATTCTTTCACTTCCTCTTCACCAATATTATTTTGATTTAATGCATCACTATGCTCATACTATACGAAATTGGATTCTTCTGTATGCATCAGATTTTACTTTACTTCTGACCATATTATCCACTTTCCGAAATGGGAACGTTTACATTAGCACGATCAAAACTGAGGTATTAGTCTGAAATAAGAGGCAATATGCCTTGCAGCTAATAATTTAGCAGGTTCAGGTAGCACTCTTGATTGAATCTCATACAAGTCCTCTACTTATTTTCTTCTTAAGATGCATTGAATATGCATATGGAACAAGATGCTTTAGATTTTCTTCTTTGAATGCATTGAATATGAAATAGCTTCTGTTCCTGATCAGGTCCCATGGACATATCTACAATTCCAGCCTTGTAGCTGAGTACCCATCTGTATTCAGAGATCTTCAGGGGATTAGCAGAACCCGAGAACACGGCTCCAATCTTGGGCTGTACACAATGCATACATCATCGAGAATGTCCCGTGCGCTCCTGATTTTCCGTGTTTGCTGCATTTCTTAGTTAAAATGGGCATAGCTTTCCATCCAACCATCACCATGTATATTTGTCTGCAATCAATCTTCCCATCTAAAATTTGAAGCTCCATGGCTTCTACATGCTACTCCAGACCGTAGGTGCGTCCGTACTAAATGTGTACACTCTCATGGGTTCGCGATGAACTCACAATCAAAAAGTGAATCAACATTTTTTTGTATCACTTAGCCAAGTTCGACTTTATCAAGGTTTATTTTCTCCAAATACACCTCCAAACACATTTTTCTGCTCTCCTCACTTGTTAAATGTTCTCTACAAGTCGAGCGTTTTCATTAAAACTTCAAGAGGATCCTCTCCCCAACTGAATGCTACTTTGTGTATGGTTGTAGTTCGATTTCATCATTCGATGGCCTTCACTGAAGTGACTCTACCTTTCGAAATTGTTCACAGTACATTGATAGTTCAGCCTTGTCCTATGGGCGGCACCCTTAGTTAGGTGCACGCACTCACCTATCTAAAGGCAAGATCAAAGACAAGAGTTATTGCTCAAGTGTAGAGCAATATTCAAATCAAGCATAAAATTCACAAGACTGCTTGTAAGTTCTTTCCATATGACGTTTAAGGAGCTTGAGACAGCAGAAACTTGGGGGCCGCTCGGAACTGCGTCAGAGGTGGGAACAAAGAATGAATTGCAAGGTATCTATGACAAATTAGCCTGGGATTATTCACTAAAATCGCCTGCTGCTGCTGTCTATCCAATGTATGACTATTCCCAGTCTGATTGTCAATCCAAAATCATCAAATTGCTATGAGTTCATGTAAGCTCGACGAACTGATCATCATTAATTAGTTCGTCGTCGCTTCCGAGAACATGAATGATCGTAGTGTCTTCTACCTACGCATTAAGGAGCACTTGAGCTCGTGGAGTTGTCGAAGAAGATCCAACTCGCGTCATTCACTTCCTCATATCTGTACCCGAGGGCATTCAAATCCAGAAAGTCCCTCACTTTGACTCTCCTCATCACTGCATTCTCATCCCAGAAGAGAAATGTTGCATCGAGCCAGTCTGGGTCAGTCGGATCGTCATGGCCGTAGCCCAACTTGCGCCAGACGCTCCAGAGTCGCTCCATGTTCGCATGGAAAGGGTAAAAGATTGGGTCGATTGGCGCAGTGATGGGCTGCAGCATCCATCCTCCGATCCAGACGTGCAGCGTATTGTGGGGCCATCTTTCGATGGTACCTGCTCCTGTCGCTGGAATAATGACTCGCGTGTCTCCGACTCTGTATGGCTTCCCGATGAAGCTGGTGGTGTTTCCGAGCGTGATCACCGACCTGTGCATGACTTCTCTGTTCCTGCGCGTTTGTTCCTCGAGGGTACGGTTGGGGAACGGAGGGATGGGCGCTGAAAGTGGAACTCTTTGCGAGAGGTCGAGCGACAGGTCCACGGGCCTATTGGGCTCGAAGGCCTTGGATGAGCGATTTGGTTCAAATGTTGCTTTCGATGGATCGCTGTATATCGGAGGCATGAAATGACCAGCCTTGTAGCAGCCGTGGGATCCATGCCTTGGCGTCGCTGTGACGCTGTTGTCGAAATTCCAGAAATGAAGACTGAATTCGGGATCTCCGAGCAACTTCTGCAAAATCCTCTCGTGAAAGTACACGAACATGCGGTGCCAGGGCAGGAAGAGCCAATTCAAGTGAATGTCGATGGTGAGGTTGGTGGAGCCATCCTGGACGAAGGAGCCCGTCCCGTAGGCACAATGAATCGCGTTCTGCCTTTTGAAAGAGCGCGGATCACTGTCTGGAAGAGCGCGCATCAGAGCGTATCCTCTCTCCAACTTCCTCGTATAGGTCTCCAGCTCATGGCCGCTGAGACATTGTAAGGCCTTCCTGACCCTCAAAGGTTTAGAAGCATCGAATGTCGGGCAGAAATCAACAATCGGTCCTTTTATGAGCTTGGGAGGGCAGCAATCAGATGGAATTCCCCCCCAAGTTCCCGGGCGACAAGTTCTAAACGTTTCCCTGGTGATGGTGATGGGACCTGCTAGAGTGGTTGTCACGACAATTGAAAGGAGAATTTGGATGAAGAGTATCGGGACCACAGTTGAAGTCATTATGGATAACGTACGGTGGAATGCTCTCAGACTTCTGTAGTCGAAGAATTGTCCTTCTGTTGATGGAAACACGATATACCTTGAGCATATGACACTGCACACACAAGTCTTCCACAAATGTCAATTTTCGCCGAAGTTCAGTCTACCCTGAACAAAACATCAGCAAAGAAATGGTTCGTGCGCAGTTACGTTCCAATCAGAATCCTACTTCACATATCTTTGACGACTGAATACGAGAGCGTGCACTGCCAGGTAGCTAAGGTCAGATGTAAAAGATTGTAGAACTGGCAATTCGACAATAAAATCTGGATAGCATGAACGAGTATGTGCAATGAACTTTCAGCATGTGAAGACAGAAATGCATAAGCTCAGAGACTAAAGTCGAGTTGCGACTAAATGCATAATTCTCGAATGAGGTATATGAGCGGTTAAGCAGAAAGCGTAATGTATAGAATCAAAGAGAACATAGCAAGGGAATCTGTTAAACGCCCATGTACCTGGAGTTTTGGGCTAAAGGAATTATGGACAGATGGCGAACTCGTGGTCTTGGGATAGTCAGGACTATCGAAGTCCCAAGCCACTGACGAGAGTTAGATCATGATTTCTCAGTCTTTATTGACTTCGGAAGAGTGAGTGTAAAGATTAGAGTATCGACAATAGATTCTCCTTCAAAACGCTATTTCACGTTCAGGACATTAGCACAGAAGAATTTTATAAACAACATTGAAGCAGAAACGTTCATAGTATCGAGATATACCTGCAACAATGTTGACGGCGTGAGGAACTCCAACAAGGAGGTGGGAACGAAAGTTGAGTTTTTTTATTAGAATAATATTAGCTGGCGACAGCAGTGGCAGCTCTGAGTTTTCACGTGGATGTAGTTGCGAAGTTAGACATTATAAAAGAATCTCGATAATGCAGAAAAAAACTAGGATTGAATATTCAATACGCATCGAGATTTTTCGTGTCATGAACTTCATCTTGTAATGTGCAAATATGCTGATCGTTTTCGATTGTACCGAAAGACCTCTAGGCTGCAACCGGGCATCAAATACTCTCTACGCATCGCAAGGTATGGCTCCTCCATGCACGAGGCACAGACTAAGCTTCATCATTGACGAAGTACCTTATCAAAATTCCCGTGTGTCAGGGGTCAATCAACTGAGCCCAAAGTAAGCAAGGAGATACAGTCTGGTATTTTCTGTCGAAGCCCAGACGAAGAACCCATATATATACATAATGGGTAAGTCATTTTGAGGCACTGCTGATTCTGCAGTGTTCAATTTACTTTGCAGACGCAAAGTAAAATGTATAATTTCTCTCTCAGCTCCCACGACCATCGTTCGGTGACCATCATCCCAAATCGGTGTGTGGGCTGGCAATCCGTCTGAATCGAAATGGATCCGCATCAAAACTCGTCGAAGGACACATCTTCAATTCTGTCCCCGGATGGAGCCGTTCAGGCCTGTGGTCAGCGGACTTAACGAGCGAGGAAAAATGCAATGGATTGACGGACCTTCCCACTTGATTTTTGTATCCATGCATACATTTTACAATTCATCTTGAGAACTGCAATCCACAGTCGGTGAATTATTTTTCTGTGAACTAGATAAAGTCACGAGTCTTCCCGGTCCTTTTTTTTTTCATTTGTAATGGCATCTCCAGAAATAGCGACTAGTGGCTAACACTTTGGGTATGCGGTTGGCCCACGAGACGATCCAAATGGTCGTGAAAAAACGATTGTCATTTCATATCATATGTCTATTAAATGAGTTGGCTTAGAAGATAGCAATAGATATGGGAAGACCCCATTTATTTTATTCGGCTTACGGGTCCTCTGGCGGGGTCGAAGATTTCCACCCGGAGCTCGGTCGGTATCCTCCATTTTCACGGCGAGATCTTTGTTGAAAACTAAAACCTTGAACGGACTATCCCCGTAAAAGAAGCATTGGTTAGTGTGGCAACACAATGGGACGTAGGTTTAGTTGCACCCAAAATATCTGGGATAAACACTCTTCATACTATTACCAGAGCATATGCAGAAACATCTCCGGATGCTCTGGCAATAACTCTCTACAGAATATCCCAATGTCATGGTTATCTGCTGCTGATTCTAGAAAATTGGTTGTGAGATGTTTTGAGAAAGAGGACAATTTTATTATAAGAGGAATACATGTCACATATATTTGTCCTTCAATGTCTACAGGATTTTGAATTCAATCTCAATAGCTCAATATACGTGTGATGCCATAAACAAAACATGAACTGTATTTCCTTCTTGTACCTGTTCTCGATTTATCTACTGTTTTATGAAATCATCATGCTCCAAAACATGCTTTAATGTGTTAATTTTTATAACATCAATTGTCTCATGGACTTGCATCTCACATTTCATAGTAATATTTTATTCAAACTCTCATTGAGACAATCTTCAGTTTCTTTATTAAAATAAGTTTCTACTATGAACGAGAATTACACATTGTCTTCACCATACTCAATTTTGATTTCAATATCTTCAATTATATAGAGTCAAAATCTTATGTCACAGTTTGCTTTTTATTTTTGTAATTGGCTCTACTGGTCCCAAGAAGATAAACAGTTAGGATTTTTTTCATTTGATGCATTTCTTAGTTTCACCAACAATTATTTGATTATCTTATGTTTTTTTCATGAATTTGAATTAATTACATTTAAGTTTCTTTTCCACTTTTTTTAATTCATACTGATCAATCTATACCTCAATAGCATCCATGGATGGAATTTTATCCTTTGGTTCTCCCACCATAATCAACCTATTTATCCTATTAAACAATATCAAATCCAACGCACTCTATCTTCATGTCAGCCATCTAGTTCAGTTAGATGCTTTTTCACTCAAACAAACATGTTCCTAGGAGTTCAAGAGATATTCTTCGCTTCTTTTACTCCTCTACTCTAGACGAAGCTATATCACTCCTTACAGAATATAATATATATATATATATATATATATATATACAATTCATCAAGGATGCACGCATATGCAAGAAGAAGGAAGATTGAAACAAGAGACTATGTATTACAAGAGAGTAACATCAACAGTAAACCCAATTTTTTTAGCTGTATGATATATGTTGTTGAGTCCAGTTTTTGCATGCATTCTAATGTAATTACCTTTGTGATTGCCCATCCATATTTTAAAAACAGGGGAATTGAGCAGAACTCATTGAATCAAAATATCATAATTCAATGAAGCGTAAAGAAACTTAACACATGGCTATAGTGCATGTGAAACTACTTTAAAATCTTGTAACTACTTACACCCTAAACTCTTATCACAGCAATCAATATGTATAACAAACTAGTAAATTTTATATAAGATTATAGATTTTCATAACATGATATTATGGAATTTAGTAGAGCTGTGTAAATAATATCTTTCAAAGTAGTTATTTTCTTCCAAAGATGTACAAGTGTGTTCTCTGCTCGTCATCTTCAAAAGTTAGATCAGTCATTAGCTTAAAATAGAATAAACGCGATAAAATGTTAAACAAAAATCAAAAATTTTGCCTGGCTAGTTCTGACTATATCATTACTGCCAAGTGGAAATGATGAAATCACATCACTATGTATTGTAAATGATGTTAAAGACACTATCGGTAATTATTGAGAAATGTCTGGGTGGCTGAACATTGTAGTTCATTACCATCTGTGGAATAATGCGGAGGCAACCTTCAAAGAATTGGAATGGCAAAAGCTGACATTTCAGTTTCGACGAAACTTTTAGTTTAATGGACAATTTGTAATGCATTTTGCCCGTACATTGGTTCAGACCGGAAAGTGTGTCAGATTATACACATGATGTTCTGTCCGAATGAAGAAAAAAAATTAAGGGAAAGGAGAACTCTGTCGGATTCCCCTCACCAACAAGCGCTTAGCATGCTACAACACCGTCAACTTGCAGAACTAATGGAACCATTTCAGAGCCAAATCACAATGCTGATTTGTCTGAACGGTGAGCAGAATTGAGACCGGGAGTTTATGTGAAGAAGATAGAAACAAATGAAGGGAAGCCGCTCAGATCTGTCGAAACGTCACGTCGTTTATGAAAGCTTCGTGTCTTTCTTGCTGCTCTAGACCTAACTCCACTTCTTCCACACAATCGCCTCTCGATCGTCCTCTAGATCGAGAGATCGCGAGTCGAATCACGAGGAGGAAATAATTCTGAAAAAGTTTTGACACGGGTTCGGGGCCGAGCGAGAGGGTGTTCTTTCTCTTGGACATTCTCCGAAGAAATTTCCTTCTCGCTCGGCCCGTCGCCTCAGAATTAGTTCATATCAGGTAGCTTCATGATACGAGTACCCTTCTCTGATAGCCATCCCATCGAGTCCGATAGAGGCAGAAACGTAGGATTCACATTCCACAATACTTCGGTTGTGTACAGCCCGGTGAACAGCTGTCAATGTGGGCTCTTGGGTTTGGTTCGCGGTGTGTACTTGTTTGTACACTATCGATGATAGCTGAAATATCTACCGTGTACATCGAAGGTCAAGAATTTTCCTAGTCAATTTTGATTCGTCAATAACTGCGAATCGCTGTTCCAGTTTTCAATTCCAAAAACTCCTTCTTGAGCATACGCAAATCTGATCTACTTTCCTGAATATGAAACATGCTAATTTCCCTGAACTCTCGCTTTGGACCTAAATAATGATCGACTTCTACTCGTTGGACATCAGGTACTGCGGTGAATCCTGCATAACTAATAATAACATTCAACTTCGACTTGCCTCTCGATCTTATATGGGTTCACATTCGAATCGTGTTTCCCTCTGGGAAGGTTAATATGGTCCCTTCCCCAAGGAGATTCCCGGGAGATTCAACCGGCCAGGGCAGAACAGAGTAGCAATCATCGTAAGTGCTCGTGGACCCGATGCTGCTTAAGAATCGTGCGCATTCGTACGCGCGTTGTTCTGCGTGGGGAGTTTTTATTCGATTCTGAGGATGCCTACCCAAAAAAACTAGCAGAGACAAAAAAAAGCCGGATCTCCTCTCAACAGAGAAATTTCAGACTTCTGTAATCACAATAAGCAGGAAACTTCAAGGGAAAAACGACAGATCAAACAAGAAGAATTTCTCAAATCTAGGACAGGCAGGTTCAGACTTCCAAAACCGGTCTCGCTGATGTCAAGAGGAAAATTTTCATTTCCAATCAATGTGTGCCTCCTCCAAGCGTTGATATTGTTTTCGAGTCACCTGAATAGCAATCGAAACTCCATGGCCAGAAATTCACGCCTTCTCGTGTGACTGTTACCTCGTGCTCGGTCACTGCGAGCAGTAAGGCTGCGACCGAGCCTCAGCGTAGATCAAAGCTGCTCTACCAAAATGGGGCACTACAGGCCCCGGCGGCCGAGGCTGCACGAGGACCCTTTCAAAATGGTGGGAATCACATGCACTGCGGTGGACAAGATACGCAAGGGAGCATTCCGAGGCTTCTCGCACTGGACGGCAGGGGTTCCCACTCCCGAGGTGCATCACGAGAGGCGCATGGCGCGTCTGAAAGCCCTGAACCATAACGTGAAGCCCCGCCTCGGGGTCTCGGTGGCAGAAGCTCGAAATCACGCTCTTAACATCAACTCCATGGTGAACCGCATCATCAATCGAGAATCAACCGTAGCGCGTTCGAAAGACCCGCACAATTTCAACACACATCAGGCCTTGCTACGCAGGCCACTAGATTTCGGGAAAAAGAAGAAGAAGGTAGAAATCGAGCCCATGGAGCAGCCTTCGCTGAAGAAAAGGAAGAAGAGAAAGAAAGAATGGTGCGATACCACCGTCACAGACTGGCTCAGCGCCACAAACCACCCTCTGAAGAAGCTAGCGCCCACGGAGAGCATTGCAGCTCTAAAACCTGATCATCCAGGTGCGATTGCTGTCAGAAAGGGCACCCCGCTCTGCTATAGTCCCTACAAGCAAACGAAATTGGTCGATGGCACGCACTTGTGCGATCGCTACAAGTACAATGACCCAAAATCGAGAAAGCGCTACTTCTCAGGCGACGATAACATCAGGCTGAAGAAGCATTACAAAGAAGTGATCGACAATCCGCAAGGCCTGGCTACTCTCACTACCAAACCGTGGAAGCCACCTCCTCCTCCTCCACTGACCACGTACGATCCTCAGTGGAGCATCGACATGCGCTTAGGCGATATTCCGAGCGATTTGAAAGCCACACCCAACAGGCATACTCTAGATGACCCCTTGAGGCCCTGCTCCTCGAGCAAGCCCTACATCAATCCTCTCGTCGAGCCAGAAGCGTATTACCTCCAGGAGCTGCAGTCGCTGCCCGTGCCATGCAACACGCCTAGATCCGGATATTCATCCGCGCGATCGACCAGGCACTCGTCGAGATCCCCGCCAGGATCGAGAGCTTGCTCGAGCGTCAGACATGTGCATCGCGCTGATCTGAACACGAAGTCAGATGATCCACTGAGTGACGAAATGAGTTATAGGTTCGGTGAGATGATAAGAAACCTGCTGCCGCCTCCTGATGCTGAACAGCCTTCCCCCTCGGAGATCGATGAATTAGAAGAGCTCGAGGAAGAAATCGAAGCTTACCTGAAAGCCCCATACAAGCCCACAGATGTACCTCCTTGGGAATACCCTGATTGCTGCATAAACCCCTACTGATAACAATCATCACTCACCTGAAACCGACCCAGTTCTGATTTCGGTCAACGAAGCAAATCAGCCTGAGATTTGACAGCTTGCAAGAACAAGATAGAGAATTAAACAATCGGGATAAATCCGGATTCGTACCCAAAAGTGGTTCCTTGGATTTCACCTGATTTCTGTCGAAGAAGATTGCATAAATGACAGGACATGACAACATGACATGACAAACACAGCGTGGTCACTTGTCCAGACAGAGATAGCTCCCTCGTACTTCCGTGCACTAAAAGTCATATAAGGTACGAGAAGAGGAACTTCCGACACAAGTTGCAGCATTAAAGGGCATGGCCTGCACGGCCGCCCTGAAGCAGGGCTGTGCATCGTTGGATCTACAAATCTCGCCGGATGAATCTGGATGTGTGGCCCGAGGATGCAATGAAGACTTCCACGTTCTTTATTGCAGCAACGATCTGCAGATTGGTCTACAAAAAGTTGCTTACGTACTGGTGCCAGATCTGCCGATCCTATCGGAATTTGAAAAGCAAAAGCCGAGAATCTACAGATTTTCGGACGCGATTCCCAAGAAGTCAACAATGCTTCTGATGCTCCTATTGAGCCTCAGGACACCAGCCCTACCCGGGAATATACAACGCCCACGGATTCCTTGGGTGCCAACCTTTGCGACACAATGGCCTCCCTCCTCTTCACCTTCTCTGAATACTCCTCCAGTATAATACGCAATGTTTTCCATCCTATCGGGCCGAAAACAAAGTACTGTATCGTACTTGTGATGGTTGTTGCGCTCACATATGGGGAAGGTCATAATCTGTCCCTCTTTCCATGAATGTGACAAAGCCATTCCAGCTTTCTAAAATTACCGGGAGAATTGAAGTATTCTTCTTCTCAAGCTGCAGGAAGTAAGTCGTGTGAGTTCGATCTATCCCGGGCTTCGGAGAGGATCTTCTGATTATTAAGATAACCTCCTGCTGTGTGGGGGGTTAAGTTTGTGGTAGATCCCTTGTCTCCATAATTATCTGCCGATTTGTTGTAACCGTATGCTCTCCTCTATACAGATCTTTAGCTCTCGACCAACGGGAATGGCTTACAGCCCCTTTTTGCCACTAACTGCATTCTTTTGCTGCTGCTGCTGCTACAGAAAGGGGTTGTGTCGACCTCCACAAACGTTCAACCTCCTTGTAGAAGGACATCACTGAAGACAGCTAGTATATTCATTCAGTTTTCCAATGTTGATATTCTCAACAATGCATTTTAAAGGCCCTGGAATCCAGAGCATCACATGCTTACAGTTGAGGCCTTGCCAGGCCTTTGGCCTCAGGATGCGCACTAAGAATGTCAATTTGACTGATGCTTCTGCAGATTTATGCCTTCTTCAATCCGATTGGAAGATATCGAATATTGAAGCATAAGAAGTACGATATGGAACAGAAAGGTACAAAGAAGGGCAAGTAAAATATATGGTGATGAAAATAGTAGCTTTCTTATAGGACGGTAATCAACTTCGGTATATGCTACCGGTGGCTGAATCTCTTATCTTGGGGTTATAATATCTCAGATTCCAGTATAACTTGCACAACAACACAAGGAGCGAATGAATCCTCGAAACGGGTGAACTGCCATAGTGCTGATGGCATCAGCACTATTGCAGCAGCCTGATGCATCCAGCTGATGATCAGGAGTACAACAGGCCATGTTAGCTGACTTACGTTGTCACAAAGTCTTGCATATCCGTGTCTGATGTGCAGGCAGCTACCACTGTGTGTGTCTTCTTTAGCATCGATGCCTTTGTGCAGGTTAATCTTTTGCTTAGTCGTGGAGAACATTTATTGGTACAGTACCGGAGACCAAAATCCTAAAACACCTTAAATTGACGACTCTTCTTGAAGGCAGGAGAGAACAGCATTTCGACGGGCATCTGTTCAGTTATAAGGTATGTAAATCCTCTCTTTCAATCCAGATGCAGTGTAGTTTATGCTTCTCTTGAAACCAAAGAGTTGTGCAAATGATCTATTTATCTTCTGCATGTGATATTTAAGGGGTTTACATTTACATTACTTATTTATTTTATCTATTTGTTATAAATAACGTGGAAAAATTGTAGAACTCTATATTTAAGTACAGCGATATCTAAAAACTTCATGTGGAGCAAATTATCTTCTAGTGACAAATAAAAAATGAAATTTTCACTCGGATATCTAGAAACTGATGTATTTTAAGATTCTGGGAATCTTACATCTCAAGCAATTCACTGTTAGTAGTACCAAAAGAATTTTGGAAAACACTCTCATTTGTATTATAGAATTCTTTTGTCTAAATTCTTGTCTCAATTGAAATTTTCTCCAAAAATTCTCATTTCAAAGTCTCCCCTTTTCACAAAAGCATGCTTATAGACTTACAAGATCGCCAGATTTTATGAAATAAAATTAGCCCATTGTTTATATTACATCTTATATTTACAAGGTAGTGGCTAGTTATCTTTCACTTAGGGCTAATTAACCCTCACTTTAGTATAAGTAGTTCTCTTATTGGTCAATACAGTGTACGCAATTTTCTTATTGGTCAATGCAGTGTAATAAGGATGGAGTAGCAACTATAGGGTGTTCGACCAATCAAATAAGACCGTATACTAGGGTGAAAGCTAATTAACCCTAAGTGAGTGATAATTAGCCCCTCCCATTTACAAACAGATTTGTACTTTCTATATAATACTTTATAAAGAAATACCAAGAGATCACAAACATGTCGAGAATGTCAATGCAATGTTTAAAATCTGCGTCCTAAATTTTCAAATATATCATTGGGGTCAAGAATTATAATTTAGATTAAGAAATAAATCTAAACGTATATTTCCTTTCGTCAACTTAAAGTGCACATATGACATATGTAATTCCAAACAGATACATTTGTAATTGTTCTCCTTGAAAAGCAGCAAAATATAAGCAAATAAATGAATATAATTTGTTAATGATATTGCGTTAAAATTTCATTACTTAGTTATGATGTGCTTACTGGATAAGTCTATGAAATAGAACAAAACAAGCAAGCACCAAGTAAATTTTATCTAGCTTAGAAATTGGAGTAAAAATCTCATGGAAATCATGTAACTGTTTTGTTATATCGCATGAGAATAAATATATTAAGTAGGTTGAAGAAATTACTTCTTCAAAATAAGTTTTTTAAAAATGAAAAAATGTTCATTGAATAACTTCATTATGTCAAACATTTGACATAACATGATGTGAATGTTGAAAGCTACCACTAACACATGATTATTATTCTTTAATTGCAAACCTAAGATATGGGCTGCCGAAGAGGAATAATTTATAAATCCCCTTTCAACTTTTCATCTTAACAATTGAATATTGAGTTAATGCTTCGTAACTATAATGTAAGTCCTTTCGATCTTTATCATGTTTCAGCGTTAATCATTTGGCATTTATTGTCCAATATATATATTTCTAAAATACTTTCAGCTTGACAGCAAAAAATACTTGATTGCAGTGTAGTTGTCATGAAAATCATTATCTAATTTCCATAATTATTTTCACACCATATTAAAGGTGACATACTAGACATAAGGAGATAAACATCAAAATTTAAAAAAAAAATTCATGAGGGTTGGATTAGATTATGAAAAATCTGGATTACATATATTACTTCTTGGAAGAAACTACATTATATGTTTGAATTCAACTGATGTAAAATTACGGTCCGTACGGATTTTACTATTCCGTTGGGTCCTCGCCCGTCCGCGCTGCTGCGCTGGCGCCGAAGGCGCCGTACAATTTCCAACCCCGAAGGCGCATTTCCAGGGCCGAAGGCGGATTTCCCGCCGACGCCGAAGCGCTTGTGCGTAGGCGAACTTCGCTCGTCCGCCTGCGCAGAGGTGTTTGTCCTCCCCGCCTACGAGTAGGCGACATCCGCGGCGGACATCCCGCCGACGTCAAACCCTATTTCGCCTACGCGTAGGCGGACTTTCTCCCGTCCGCGCATAGGACAAACTTTCCTCGCCTACTCGTAGGCGAGAAGCTGAGTGTCTTGGGACCTTCATAACTCCCGGAGTTCTCCTCCGTTTGTGGCGTTCTTGGGCTCGTTAGAATCAGCGCGTCGAGCTCTTTCCAACGAGACCCTAACCAAGTCGAGGCGTTTGGGAATTGACCAGGTTCTGAAGGATTCCTCTAGCACACATTACACAAAGTTGCACATGTTTCTTTGATTTATATGTAATCATTCATATGACAAAATGTAGTATCTCTTTGTATCTTAAGGCAGAAAAATGTCATGTGAGGTTTCAGAAAACGAGGCAATTGTTATTTTTGAAATAAAAGTATGTAGTCCATTTTTAAAGCACTCTTTCATGCATTCACTTTAATTTTTATATCAAATCAATTAATTATTAATAATTATTACAAAATAATTATTAAATGTCCTAAACAGAGTTGATTAAATCAAAATACCTTGTTGCGACCTAGTTAATATAATATAATCTGTGATATTCTGGCATAGGTTAAATTTTTATGTAATGTATAAATTATTAAACTTCTAGTATATAATTAACTGCATTTATTCATAATTAACACATTGTCCACATATTGCTTTCAAGTAATACATATAATTTTAGTTTATCAATCTTAAAGAGTATTGATGTTTGAACTATATATAACAAGTCTACTTAAAATTGATTATTTTAATTTTAAGTATTCTTTATTTTTAGTAGGACAAAAAATACAATATTAAGCAGAATTTATTTCTTAAACTAAAATTAAAAATTTCAAACAATTGACATAATTTTACTATACTTTATAATTTTATTGAAAATGATTTTGATTATTTAATTGAAATTTTCATTCTATGGGTCTGATAATGAAGTTTAAAGTTTCTTTCAGTTAAGAAAACTGAAAAGGATTTCATGTTTTACATTCTTCAAATATATCTCTTAATATATAATTTTTCAATTAATTTAATAGGTTTAAATAAGTTTCTAAAATGTACAAATAAAAAAATATTTACTAGTTATGTATTTCAGGTTTACAAATTTACCTGAATGAAAGAACTTAGATATTATATATTATAAATTTTCGAAAATAGAAAAATAATGTTAAATTTTGAAAAAAAATTTCCTCTTTTTTTAATTTTTTTACTTCTATTTAAAAAGATTATTGTTTATTTATATATTTAGGTTTATAGAATGACCTAAATGAAAGATTTCAATTATTAGCTCTAATAATTATTTATAAAAAAAGATTTTTTATTGACATTTTTACTGGAATTAAAAATGAGTGATTCAATGCTGATAGTTTTTGCTCCTCGTACTCCGCGACAACAATGCCAAACACAACGTTCTCTTGCTTCCTCATCAGAATATCAGACCTGTGCTAGGTGCTCCTCGTCAAAATTTTACATTTCCTTCACTAAACTGCTTTATTTGGATTGACGTTGTAAGAGGAAAAGACAGATGTCCACTCCCCTTTTATGAAAAACATGCCCCAATACTTCTAGTCAATGTCTCATCTTTTCAAGAAATTGCACGAATTTCTTCAAAGTTGTTAATGATTTTACTTCTAAACCACACACTTCTTTCTCTTCTAGTTTACATTTATGATCATTTGTCTCAACAATTTCTTCAATAGCTTTCATTTTGTGATCAGTGTCTGCTACTGTTGTAACCTCTCTACATGTATTCACATTATTCGCTTTGACAACATCCACAACAGTCGCAGCTACGGCCTTTGCAGCTTCTTGAACGACAGCATCATCTTTAGTTGCAATTGCATAGGTTGCCGCGAGCTTGACAAGTTTAGTTGCTTCTTCTCAGCAGGTTTGATCGCCTCTATTGGCGCAAATGCAGCCCTAGAATCTACCTACCCAGTCCTTGCAGCTGTTTTCATTATACTTCCCACATCCACTTGCCGACAGACAGTTCTCCCTTGTAATACTGTAACTCAGCTTCCTACAATGTCGTAACCTTCTTTGAACGTCTTTCTTTACCTTATTCTACCCCTATCCCATGCTCTTAAATACTTTTAAGATTCCTATTACCTCTATCTATCAGCTACCTTCGAAGGAGGAAATCTCTACCTCAAACATCAGCTTTCGATGGTATTTCAACATCTTCATCACCACTCCTTTCCTCCCCTCTTCTTTTGTTGGTTCCTCCATCACAAATGTCACTCCTTTGTTTTGAAACCCCTCCTCTTTCATTCTACTCTCCATCTTTATCACTTGATGGACAAGTGTGTCCAAATCACTATTAGTTACCTATTACTCTTCGCTTTAAGTCCACTTTGTCTTTGCGCCGTCTTTTTATTTCATTTACTTCCTTGTTGGTGTCATAAGTCTGTCTAAGTTGATTCAAAGCTTCAACAATAGCTCTACCATCTATCTCTTGTGCAACATCTTTCCGTTTCACTTCTTCTTTATCTACACACTCACTATTACTTCCAACCAACGATTCATGATGAATTCTTATGCATTATTGCTTTGCCACTTACTTCTTTACTTGCTTTACCACATGTCAAAGGTTTTTTCTTTCAGTTGGTCCAGTTTGCATATTAATTTCACCAAAATTGCGGATTCTCAAATAGTGCATAACCTTTGCCACCATACCAATTGTTAGTACATGTTCAATCACGTTATCCAATTGTAACGCGAATTTCAGAAGACATGTTGAGTAAGTTCTCAACATCTCACGATCCATCACTTTTGAAGATGTCTTGCCGGAAGTAATCGAACTACTCTCTATAAATAATCCATTCTGCCATCACCGACCTAAAGGCGCTTCCTCTATGATACACTGCTTGATACTAACAAATACTTGGTACTAAAAAACGTGAGTATACAGCACATGCATATATATCAAGCAAGATAAATAGCTAGAAGTAATCTAGTAGCAGCAGAACATGGATTGAACGTAACATGTGGAGAAGAAATTTTGAATAGACTAGCTCAAATAAGTCATAATCTTTTGCTAAGCATATTCAGAAGGCGGCCAATCGTACGAGAGAATTGGGAGTCGCTTGTGAGTGGAGATCCGCTCCTTGCTCGTACTTTGATACTTCTCCTCCTCTTTCTCCATCACTCCTCTTTCATTATCACATATTTATTTCTTTATAGAAATCAATTTTATTTGCAGCTATTTGTTGAAATTTCCTTGAAATGTTGGACTCAAACAAATTTGAAATTTTTTTAAAGTTTGTTTTTAAATTGAAACAATATTATATAGGTTAATGTTGTGACAATTGAAAATATGATAAGGATATGAATAAATTGAGTTATGTTACCACTCCAGGAAAATATTAAATTCTATTCAAAACATGCTTACAACCAAAAAAGTGCACCAACCACTTGTTTTGGTAATATTTTAACATTTTGTAATAAAATATCACAATGTGTAAATGTGCACCATATTATTTTCTAAACATTACTGATTAGAATATGAATCCAAACACGGAAGTTGTGTAAGATCTTGAGCATTTGAGATTCATGATTGTGGATCAGTCCGTGGAGCTGCGGATATGTTGAATTAAGATACTTGTGCAAGATTTGGACATATCATGTCTGAGAACTCTACTTTCAGAAAATGGCCAATGGGAAGTGAACCATTACTCTTAAAAGTAGCAAACAGGCCACTGCTTACGGTGCATTGTAACATACGACTTCTTGATGTACATACTAAATGCCCCATGAGAGGCATATTCTAAACGAAGTGTACATGGATTACTTTGTAGAGTAACATCATCGCTCAGGTCGGCAATGTGTCAAGTCCTGCTGACTCCTCCTCGCTCCCACCTATTTCATCCTCTCTGCCTCCGATCGGTGCGATCGAAGGAGGCAGGGAGGATAGGGAGGCACCGCGCAGTAAAAAACGGCGGTGGTCGCACCAGCTGCCCGTCATGCAAGCGCTACACCACCGAACTCGCTGTCCATCCATCCGTCCTTCCTCGCTCCAAATGGCTACGATCGGGAAGAATGTAATGATTACACTACGTAATGACATTACATTGTAAAGACATCCTGTGCAGAAGTGTTGAGTACTTGGAGGAGCGAGCAGAGGACGAAAGTCCTCCTTGCCCGAGACGAGGATGAGAAGCGAGGGAAAGACGGCGGGAGAGCGTGCACTGCTCTTCCGGCCGGTTCTTACATTCTCCTCGGCTGGCAGTGATTGAGCTCTGCTCTGCTCTCAAGGCACCAGGACGTCGTGGACAGCACACGCAATAGATTCAAGCAGATTCGAAAAGTTCTCTGAAGTCAACGGGGTGGAAGAGCGCAACAGAGCGGATTGAAGCCAGACCCGAGGACTCCTTGTCGTATCTCGCATCGGCATGCCTCAGAATAGCAAACAAAAGCCCCAAAGGCTGGTGGCATAATTTGACGTAAGAATCTTTCTGCAATTTTCGACCGCAACTTGTTGTAAGAAACTCACAGAATAAGGTCCGGCAGCTGTGCCCTCCGTTGACGGATATAGATTTGCCAAACGAGCCTCCAAGATGACGGGGTCAAAACATGGAGCAGAATCTTCGTGGTGCTGTCAAGGCACGAGTGCATATGAAAGCACACTACGGTCAAGTACCGAGCTCCTGAGCGAATCAGGTTGCGGCCAGCAGGGACGGCTCTCATGTGAGCCCCGAACGGCGTTGGAAAATAGTAAGAGGGTACAATCGTCGATTGGGAACTTTAGAGCCGGCGGACGAGCAGTGGGGCCGCTTTTAATAACCTCTGCAGACAAAGAGGCGACGGCTTCTGGGAATCCTTGTCGGTCATCGGTGTGGACTGTGGAGTGATGTGGCGAGCAGAGTTGCCGCGAGAGCCAGAATCAGGGTCTACGAGAACCACACTGGGCGAGAATTGTTGTGCTTCTCACGTTGGAGCTCCAATATTGGAATTCTGAGTCGCTTATACTGGCTGCGAGCTTTTGCTCTGTGCAAATTGGAGCTGAATCTAGTTTGCCCAATCATGTGATCCAGCACCTTTTCATTGACTTACTGTAGATGGATCCATCCCCTTGCACTGGATCTATCTGTAGACAGATTCCGGGGCCCTCGTAAAGCAGCTCGCTCGCTTATTCTCAAGACTGCTATCCACTATAAAGGATGGGCCCTTTTACTGAAATCTCAGACTACCAGAGTGTGTAGAGCAACCCTGTTGTCTGCGCTCTCTCTCTGGCTCTCTGATCTCTGCTTTTCCGCTCTCTGCCCTTCAATGGCGACATCTTGTCCCCCGGACCTGACATTTGGTGCCAAGTATTACTCCTTGGTCGATGGAGTCTGTACGAGAGACACGAGCTTCTTTGGAGATAAGCCAGTGCTGGGTCAGAGTGTCGGCTATGCCGTGGTTCTAGGCTTCGGTGCCTTCTTCGCCTTTTTCACTTCCTTCCTGGTTAGCCCCGAACTGAATCAGCCCTTCCCTTCCATTAGAAGTTGTTAGTACGTGGTGTTCTGCCTTTCGCTTCTTATGCTGGGAGGGTAGCTCGGCCTGGGCCAAAGTTGACAGTCATCAGTCAGACATGTCAATACGCCTGTGCTTTAATACGTTCCTTTGGAGGGTGTGTGGATTTTTGTTGACGAAGGCAGTAGTCAGGTGCCTCTAGGTTGGTCGTGGTGCGGTGTTGCTTTCTCGTCACAAGAGCTCGGAGCTCAATATGATTGGAGAAGGTCGGAATTTACTGAAGCATGGGTTGTGCTCGTCTGTGTGCTCTAGGTATGGCTAGAGAAGCGGTTCCTAGGAGCTGTGCATACCTCGGAGTGGTTCAATACAGCTGGTCGTAGCATCAAGACTGGTCTTATTGCCAGTGTTATCGTCTCACAGGTGAAATTCACTTTTCCCCCGCTCTGTCGTATGACTAAGCCGAAGTGATTCCGTTGCCTGATTTCCGGAAATCTATCTTTGTTTACGGTGGACGGTGCTCAAAACAGTGTGCTGGTTCTGATTTTCGGTGCTCCTGCAAGAGAGGAGGTGATTGTGATTGCGTCCCTAATTCTATTGCTTTGAATCGTGCAGTGGACATGGGCGGCCACAATCTTGCAGAGTTCAAATGTGGCTTGGGAATATGGAGTCAGTGGGCCCTTCTGGTACGCCAGCGGAGCCACAATCCAGGTCCTCCTCTTCGGAGTCATGGCCATCGAAATCAAGCGTAAAGCGCCTTCAGCTCACACCATCTGCGAAATCGTTCTCGCAAGGTGAGATAACTCAACAATATCCTGATGAAGTTCCTTGCTGGAATCGAGACTAATCCGAGATTTCAGCGCCTCGGAACAATTGAAGCAGATGATTTGAGAACTGTTTTGGCTTGAATGAGGGCATCTCTTTTTGAGCTCGTACTGAGCTCCACGAAACATTGGAATTGAAGCCCTGTTGCATCGCTAGACGAATGTTGTTCTTTAGAGGTTCACATCTCCACCAATTTGACTTGGGAAACGAAACTCTAATCGGCCATTGGAATGTTGTTTGTGCAGATGGGGCTTCCATGCGCACATGGTGTTCCTGTTCTTCTGCTTCATGACCAACATTATCGTCACGGCAATGCTTCTTCTCGGAGGCTCTGCGGTGGTGGAAGCTTTGACGGGCATGAACATCTACGCAGCCAGCTTTTTAATTCCACTGGGTGTGATCGTATATACTCTTGCTGGAGGATTGAAGGCCACCTTCTTGGCCAGTTACATTCACTCTGTCGTCGGTAAGATGACCAGCCTTGCGCCCCTTTTTCGTGCTTGATTGACGACTTGAATTCCGCAATCACTTTTGAGAAAATGCTCTCCCTGCCTGACTTGTACCGAATCGTGCACCCAAACGGTCGAATCGAGATCGAAAGAGTAGTGAGTTCAAGTCCACGCAGGTCCCAAAGTTCACGTCTCTGTGGACCACGGGCCGAGAAATACGTCTGATTATGTTTCTGATTTGGAGGGTGCTGCTCATGTGTGCAGTTCACGTGGTGTTGGTCGTGTTCGTCTTCCTGGTATATGTTGCAAGCAAGGATTTGGGAAGTCCTAGCGATGTCTACCGAAAGCTCTCAGCGATTTCGTCTCATGATCGGATCTGCACCTCTCCCATCTCCTACTCGAACCAAGCCTGCGGAACGGTGGACGGTAACCACGGAGGCTCCTACCTCACCATGCTCAGCTCCGGGGGTTTGGTTTTCGGAATCATCAACATCATCGGCAACTTCGGCACAGTCTTCGTGGACAACGTGAGCTTGAAATTGCCCAGTAACACATTCCATGACTGCCTTATAGCTGCTTGCTTGTACAGTTCCCCTGCGTCGGCCTCGACGCTGCTTGAGACCAGTGTCTTACAACACTTTCTAATTTATCCTGTTGGTGGTTGCAGGGATACTGGATGAGCGCAATTGCTGCAAGGCCCACATCGACTCACAAGGGTTACCTCCTCGGAGGACTGGTATGGTTCGCCGTGCCGTTCTCGCTCGCCACATCTTTGGGTCTGGGAGCCCTGGCTCTAGACCTTCCCCTGACTGCAGCTGAGGCCGGTCGTGGGCTCGTTCCTCCTGCCACAGCAGTCGCTTTGATGGGTAAATTTGGTGCTGTTCTGCTTCTGACCATGCTCTTCATGTAAGTTCCCACTTTCCTGGACCCGTCGTATAATTATAGAATCTGTGGACGGAGCAATGATTAGCAATCGCTTCGTCGTGTAGGACAAAGTCCGAGACTCCAACTGTTCTCACTGTAACCATAGCTCGAGGGTCGAGCAATGTCTGAAATTGTTACCTTCCAATTGAAGCTCAATCCATTTTAGTATACCCTGGCTTCTCACTTCATCAGCACGAGGGTGGTGTATGGTGATCGAAGATAATGTCTGATCTTGCTCGTGTGGGAATTGGGCAACCTTGTTCAGGGCGGTGACATCAGCGGGCTCAGCAGAACTGGTTGCGGTTTCCACTCTGGTAACATACGATATTTACCGCACCTACCTCAACCCCAAGGCCTCAGGAAAGCAGATTTTGAAGGTTTCTCGTTATGTCGTGTTGTCGTTCGGGCTCTTCATGGGAGTGCTGGCAGTGCTTTTGAACGTGGCTGGAGTGTCGCTGGGATGGATGTATCTGGCTATGGGAGTTTTCATCGGCTCGGCAGTCATGCCTGTAGCTTTCCTTCTGCTGTGGAGCAAGGCCTCTGCATCTGGAGCTATCACCGGGTGCATTGTGGGCTGCCTGGCCGGAATCACCACATGGCTGTCGGTGACCAAGATCGAGTACGGAAGAGTGAACCTCGATACCACGGGGAGGAATGCGCCCATGCTGTCAGGAAATCTGGTGTCCATTCTCACAGGAGGTGCAGTGTGCGCTGTCATCAGCATGGTCAACCCTCAGAACTACACCTGGGATACGACCAGAAACATCACGATGGTTGAGCTCGACACTTCAGACGTCCCCGAGGATGAATTCAAGGAGGAGAACTTGAAGCACGCACGCTGGTGGATCATCAAGTGGGGTCTGCTGTTCACCGTCATCATCCTCATCATCTGGCCTCTGCTCAGTCTTCCGGCCAAGGTGTTCTCGGAGGGCTACTTCACTTTCTGGGCCGTCGTTTGCATCGTTTGGGGCACAGTGGCTTCTGTGGTGATCATTGTTTTGCCTCTGTACGAGAGCTGGGAGACTATTGTGCTTGTACTCAATGGCATGTTCACGGATGACATCATGCTTACTAAGATGGACGAGATCGACGTTAAGCTGCAGGCGATCATGAAGACCAATCCCGATGCAGAGAGGTTATATCTTCTTCAGAAGGAAGAGGCCAAGGCTAAACACGAGGACGAGTATGAGACAGTAGCAGCGAAGAAGACTAAGGATATTGACCTTTGAGTGTTATCTGTCGATCCAACTGGGAAAGTGAACATCTTTTTTTGTTGGTTCAATTCCCATCCAGGCCCTGAGGTTCAAGGGTTTCAGGATATCAAATTGCACCAGTCGAAGCGGAGGCTCGCTTTATTTGAACGTAGAATCTGACGCATATCGTGGTGAAAACGTAAAGTTGTGTTTTCTGTGTACATCAGCCCTTACCGTAGGCCTGACAGTTCACAAGAGAGTGAATTCCGAGGCAGGACATGGCCTTGTACTTGAGTAAATACTGTCCCTGCAGTGCAAGTACCATAGTCACTGGGGAAGAAGATATTATCAGAGAGTCAATTAGTATATAGGAGCGATTCGTAGGGACAACAGAGGGTGTCCAGGGGTACATTACATACTGGATACCCATTCAGGAAGATAAGAAACTGATTTCTTGATGTTGAAACAAAAAGTTCTGTAATACAAAGTACTGTTATTCAACTCAAACATCGTCTGAAGATTTCCCTTCACTGTGAAGAGAATTTTGTACTAAGGTTTGCACTAAGGTTGAGTTTGATGTGTCGCTAGAGTATAATGCTCTGTCCTTCGAAGGAATTCCCTCGTTGTGCCTTTCTTCATTATCATCCAGAGAACCTACAATCTTTCCAGGACATTCACCTATATACCTCGAACCAATAATGGCTGATACTGCAGTGAAGAAAAACTCTATGCGAAGTGGTAAAAAGAGGATCGTAGTTGTATGTGACATTATCCTCAATTTAGAAAGTACTTAGGCTACTCCTTTTGATTGCAGATAAATGCCTCCAGTCTACGCTTTATTCATATTTTACATACATACTTACATACACCTGTATACTACCTGAAACCTATTAAACCTGTATGATCTTCAGAACTAGTTCATGATCGTTAATCTTGTGTCAAATTACTAAACCTAGAACTATCTGCAAGGTTAGATATCATCACACATGAGATATTCAGTTTTATTTGTTAGTATTTTTATTAGATCTTCAAGATAAAAAGTTATACATAGCAATGGACTATCGATAAGACGGTCAAACCGTCTTTCCACGAATCACATGAAAATTGGATCTGCTTGTTTGATAATGATGCAATGTAGTGATATAACATGAATCACCAACTTTTGATTGATATAAACCCGCATGAGATAAGTTTGAGTATCAACAACTGTTACCATAATTGTGAGTTCAGGATCACAAACGGAGATAAATTTATTCAGTGACTTCGGCTTATTGCGTAGAACGAGTGAAATGGGTGCGCTCTTTGTTGTGGTAAGCACGCCTTAGAGTGGTATACATGCATCTGTACACTCGGGGCCCTCTCTGCCGATCCCATTACTTCCCGTGCCCCGCCACAAGGTGCGGAAATAAACCACTGCCCATAAAAGTAGTGTCAACATCAGGCACATGATTTGCTCCCCTTATCCATAGTTGTGAGCATAGCGCATGTTGTTCGAAAATCATATAGTCGAACTTGTGTTTACTAAGTTATGTAGCTTTAAATATTAAAACTCCAAATTAGCTTGTATTCATATTTAAAATTGAGGGTGAGTGCTCACCTTCAATTTCAAGTACGAGTACTCTCAAGATATTTTCTTAAGATAATACTTGCTGAGAAAACATTTCCATGATAAAACGTTTTCTTATTACCTACAACTCCGAATTCACCTCCCACCAACGAAAATGGCTCTTGAAAGTATATCAACAAAAAAGAAGTATTGCCATAACTTGCTATTTCTATCAAGATAATCGGTTACACATATGTCAAGGACTTGTCTTAGAGGTTAGCACCAATCATACTCTACTTGGTGTTTATTATTTTGTCATGTAACAGTTTTTACTAGAGATGTGCTTTGTAAGATTAAAGAAGTCTTTTTTATGTTATAAAACGTGTCTATATCGTAAGTTATAGTTGATAGTTTTGATTCCTTCATCGAAAGTCAAGTCTAGATTAGAAATGTCGTCAACTCTATCTGCATTCACACCACTCCAAGATAGTTAACTCCTTGTTGTCACCAAGATGTTACTCGGACATCTCATCTCTCACGTAGATTAATCAAATTGAAAAAAAAAACACATGCAAGAAAAGCTCCGAATAGAAAGAAGAATGTATAGTTTATAATGAGTGTACCAAGTAAGACTATTTTGTAGTACTACAGTTTTTTTAACCTACTAGTGCTTTTCTAGGCTTTCAAACACCAACTCAATCTAAGTACAGTCTAGTATACATCTTACGATTGCACTGGAAGAAAAGTCTAAAAGAAAGTAGATGATCAATGAGCGTTAACCTATTGGCGCCAAAAATATTTCACCTTAAAATGACGAAATATAGTCTCGAACTACTTCTCAATTCGAAGTGGAAAAATCTATCAAGCAACTAAACTTTTTACAATTCAAATGTTAACTTTATAGCTATTATGGTGCCTTGACATCCACACAAATCCAATCTGCTCCTTACAAACAATAATATGAACATATCTTTTCTTCAAGGATCAATGATACTTTCTTTCTAATAACACATTCAATTTACTATCTTATCTATATTAATATAATTGCCTGACATTTATTTATCCCATGATTATATATCCAATTCCTGTAACATGCAAGTTGCAGCTCCATTTCATAGCTTGACTCTTCAAGATGATGGATAACTATGTTCATTTTCTCCCGATCAATAATTTTTGATTCAATAAACTTTACAAGTTTTAGCTAACAGGTTCCGTTTCAAATCCACCTTTATACTTTCACTGTCAATGACATTTGATTTAATTCAGTGTACAAGCTTCAATTAACAGGTTATGCTTCAGATCAGTGATGAACTTAGCTAGAGCTTGCTTGGTGTTCAGATAAATCAAAGAGTACGCTTTATTGCAATTTTATCTATATGATTCAAACTATTTGAAAAAATGCCCATAGCTCTTTCGTTACACAAGATCGTAATCTACACTTGTTAGTTGGGTATTGTGTGCAGAAATTCCTTATCACGCAATACATAGATCTAAGAAGGCCTGTGGTAACCCATTTTTTGTTTTTCGTCGGAACTAAAACATTTTTGAATAGTAAGTACCGCAGTAGCAGTTGTAAATAGTAATCGGTACGCAAAACCAGAGTAAAAAGAGGATCGAGGACAGTCAAGGGGTTTTGGGCTTAGGCCACAGTGGGACGCTTGGGACGGAAAGGGAGGTTCATGCTGCAGGATCCGCTTCGAGCACCTTCGGCGGTAGATCCCTCATAACTTTTTCAATTCGTAACGCCTTGAGTTGCGTCGGGTCTTGTTGGAAAAAGCTCAACGCGTTGGTTCTAACGAGCCCAAGAACTTGTGAAACGGATGAGAGGTCACTGAGTTATGAGTGTCGGAAGTTACTTATGGGGGGCCTTCGGCAGTAGAGCGACTCCGGCGGTACGCCTTTGGCAGAAGAACCGCCGGAAGATGCGCCTTCGGCGGTAGACGCCTTCGGGGCAAGGGCCTTCGGCGAAAAAGTGACTTCGGCGGAAGAGTGAATCCCTCATAACTTTCTCAATTCACAACGCCTTGACTTGGTTAGGGTCTTGTTGGAAAGAGCTCAACACGCTTGTTCTAACGAGCCCAAGAACGCTTGGAACGGATGAGGACTCAGGGAGTTGTGACTGTCGGAAGATGCGAAGACGAGCGCCTACGCATAGGCGGAAGGAATTCACCTACGCGTAGGCACTTCGCCATCGGCAGAATATACGCCTTCGGCCCTAGATGACCGCCTTCAGCGACGGACGTCTTCAGGTCAACGCCTTCGGCGATGCGGGAGAGTGCATTCGGCGGAAGAGTGAATCCCTTATAACTTTCTCAATTCGTAACGCCTTGACTTGATTAGGGTTGCGTTGAAAAGAGCCTGACTTGCTGGTTCTAACGAGCCAAAGAATGCTTCGAACGGATAAGATATCAATGAGTTATGAGTGTCGGAAGTTACTGATAGAGGGCCTTCGGGGCATGGGCCTTCGGCGGTACGCCTTCGGTGCCACGTGGCAGAAGATTCCCGATGACAGAAGTTGGCAGGATTATGTCAAGTGTGGGAAGCGGAACGGCGGGACGTGAAGTCGCACGTGAGGAGCAGGCCGTTACCCATAATCGCGAGAATGGCATTCAAGCGGCATGTGGGTCCCACGGACCTCGGATTTTGGAGAAGGAATTTTGGCCTAGGTTCAGAGATCTTGCGGGGCCCATATCTTTGCGATGGACGGTCGGATGGATCTGAAATTTGGTGGGGCCGTTGATCTTAGCCGGCCACGCATGCAAATTTTCAGCCTCAGATCTTGGATGGAAAGGCGCTAGCGGCTCTGTACAGTAGGCTTAGGATTCAGATTAGGGTTAGGGTTAGATTTAGGTTGTAAGTTAGAGGGGAAGGCAGCCGTCGACTCCTCAGGTGTAGGATCTGTTGCGGCTCGCACCATGGCATTGCAGTGTAGTGTTAGTTAGTACTTAGAAGGTATAAAGTAGTTCAAGGCGTCTTGCCTTGGGATTTTTCCAGTTTCGGAAGTGCAGATCAGGAACTCATTTTCTCTACGTGTTTGTGTCCTTAGTTCTGTCACCACGCACGAGGAGCTACACCTTGGCGGTCCGCATTGCGAAGCTGAAGGCCTTCGGCCGAATGTTCAGAGCTAGTACATTGGTTAGAGACTTGAGTAGTTCGGATCTACACCTGCGGGTGATTGCCGATGCTCAGAGCCAGTGACTAGTTAGATACTTGAATAGTTTCGCCCCTACACCTTCGAGTGTTTGTTCCTGATTGTACTCCTTCGGGATTTTTCCCCTGAATGCCAAAGTGAAGTTTTGCTACTTCATGTAAGCCTTGGTTGTAAATTCAGGTTACGCTGCAGCAGGTGCCTTCAGGGTAACCCTTGTAGTATTTTTGGGAATGACAAGTGCCTAAGAATTCAAACTCTTCAATAGACTGTTATGGTGTGTTACTGAAACGTTTCTCAGTGAGTCCTTCCGTGCGGACCTGTGTTCTCTGCGCGTTTTGTGAGTTGAGCGTGTTGTTCACCGCGTGTGAGTGACTTCGATCCGAAGTAGGAAGTTCAAACCGGGTTCCCTACGCTAGCAGAAAACTAGTGGAAGGGTTGTAAAAGCCGGAGTTGGGAGTCACTACCCGTCGCTTCGCTGAGTACTCGCGAGAGACTTCCCCCCTGAAATCTTGAGAAGAGCTCCTAACCGATCTCTGGGTTGTGTTTCTGTAGTTTCAGGTGTGTGTGTGTGTGTTGAGTGAACTACGCTGCACTGTGGGACCTCCGAGTGAACACTTGTAATATATATGAGAGTGACAGTTGCCTGAGAATTCAAACTGCTCAATAGTCTGTCAAATGTGACACTTTGTACCCTGTGTGTTCCTCTGTCCCTGTGGTTTCGACCTTTCTACCACTATATTGCAGTTTTAGCTTTTAGTGGGTTATTACAAGGCTGGTGCATAAGACTGTAATCAGACTAAACATTGT